ACACTAGATAAGGAACTCTACATGTAATATGAGATTACCAACATATTGTTAAACTCACATCAGTGACAATATTGATGCCAAGATTTGCCATGTTAGTGATGATACATTTCTCTACAGCTGGAATCTGGGCATGTTGGATAAGTTTGGCTAGATTTTCTTCAGATATTCCTGCATGTTAAAAAACACTACTAACTATTCTGTGGTATTACTAATTACTATAGGACTCATATCACAGTGTTTCTGTCCAATAAAGAAAGAAATATCACCCGCATTCAAAAATAAATAACATTTTCATTATGGTTGAACTCAACCCTATGAATTTAATGAGTACAAAACTCAGATATTATTGTAAATTCAATGTACTGGAAAATATTGAATGTATCAGTAAATCAATAATAAGTTGACTTTTGAAGATAGTTATTAACACTGCTATTTAGATTATGAGCACAAAATCAAAAATAATATCTTCAAATCATGTAAAGTTTTTAATTTTGCCATTAAAGTTTGTTCAAAACACTACAATTATTGAAATTTAATAGACATGTACTGTTTATTGGTATCAGGTTATTTCCAGTATTAAACAATAAGTTGTTCTAATATTAACACATAAAACATCTGAGAAACATAAACATGCAATTTAACATACATTGGTTAGGCCTATTTATTAGCTTTTGAAAGGTAAACTGAAAAATGTTTCATGTATGAATGTCATTCTCCATAAAAATATTAATCTAAAACTGTGTTCATTAACATATACCACACAAACATAGTATATTTTTAAATCAAAGTTTTAATGCTTTTGTGACACAAATTTAAAATAGTGAAAAAAAACTCAGCAAAAAATAAGCTACAAACCATTTTTAGAGAGAATGTACAACAGTATAATACGAATCTTGTCAAAAGTAGTAACATTGGTATCCAAGAGAATGGGCACAATGTTCCTCATGGGATCTTTAATACGTTCACCTTCTGCATCAGTACCCATAGCCAGGTCCTAATTTTGAAGTCAAATATAGATTTATTAACAGATTTAGAATATAAAAGAAAAAAATTTGAATTTAAATAGCAGCATATATGGAAAAAAAGGAATGAGAATTACTTTAAAAAAACAACAAACAAACACTAAGCTAGAAATAAATATCTCAAACAAGAACAACACTGATATAGAAAAGAAATGAAAGAACTTAAGAATTTTTCAACAGAAATTTTATTCAAAAATCTGTTTCTTTAATATCAAGTACACTTTGAGTACACTTGGTGCTTCCAAGGAATGCAAAAAAAAACCAGCTAAATTAGGACTGGATTTAACTTGCTAAAGTGTGGACAAGGATGTATGATAGGATTTTGTAACATATCAAAAAAGTATCAAGTCAAACATTAACTTTTTATCCAGATTCTATGGGGAAAACAAACTAATTATCTTAATACAATAAAGAAAACTAAAAAAAATTACTCTAACAATTATCTTTTAACATTCTCCTTGACCAATTGTGTAATTTTTGGTAACAACAATGGGTCCACGTGATACCTGGAAATTTTGAAATAAAATATATGGATCTTTAGAGTTCTTTGCTGTAGCTATTTCTATGGTTATAATGGTTATTTTTATCTCCCACTTGGTTTACCACTTCATGGCTGGCTGTCTAGTAATGGTCATCTTTGTAACTACTCAACTCAAACTTTAACTTTTGGCTCACAAGAAGTTCATAAGGAAAACAGCTTTACTAGAAAATCAGTCTGCAACAAGCACTCTTCTACAACCTCATTCTTCTCCTTTGATAATCCACAGCATTCTTCATGATCACCATTGAGTTTCACTGTTTCACACTGCATCTTGTAGCTTTATACATTCTATAGACATCGCTATCAATGTCCTGCAGCCGGTTGGTTTTCATTATCATTTTCAATCATCTTTGTCATCCTTAAGTTCATTCTTTGTGTGAAAAGTTTCTGTTAAGTAAAACAAGTTATGCTTTTGTCACTATGCAGTATATTTCTTCTGAGGCATTGCTTTGTAAGGGTTTCTCAGATATCAATCCACACTCATCTTACACAAGAGGTTTCAATGAACTTATTAGTTCAGTATGTTAGAGGATAGCTATGATGATTCTAGTTATTGCTCATTTAGAGGAAGCTACTTAGCTACAACAGTCTGAAGTAAGAAACAAATGCATACTAAAGATTAAAGGCAGTTAAAAGTTTGTGCTTTACTCTGAATTTAAACAAGTCTTGTCTACACATATGCAAGTACATTTGTTATTAGTTGCTCCAGAGTTAGCTAAAACTTAGAAAAAAGTGAACCCTGAAAATAAGTCTTAGATAAACTTAACAATGAGTTAACAATAAAATGATGAAGTGTGGCTATATTTACATGAATGATCATGTAATATGGTACTTGTGTATAGCTACATATGATGATAATATAATAGTAACTTGGCAAACAATGACTTATAAGCATAATAAAGTGCTTTTATTTGGGGGAACATACATGTTTCGACAGAATGTTGGTCTGAAGAAGATGGACAAATGTTCTGTCGAAACATGTAGTATGTTCCCTCAAAATAAAACCACTTCATTATGCTTATAAATCACTGTTTGTCACTTTACTATTAAGTTATAATGGCCTACAAGTTAAGTACAATTAACACACACATGGATCTCAAAAGTTGTATAAAGAATATCACTAAGGAAATTTAATCAAATCACTGAGGAAGTAAACATTAACTCTTTCAGCACGGACTCGGTCCCTAGGACTGACCTCGTAACCATTTTGTGCTTGTTATAGTTTTCATGCTATAACTTTTAAATTAGTAAGCAAATGTTAATGAAATTCAGCAGATTATCAGTAAACATTACAATGCTTTCATACACAAAATATCAAATTTTTTTATTAAGTCTTATGGTTTATAAAGCAATGTTTTCCTCATGTCTTTTCTTTTTTTTCACATGTTGCCCATATATGATCGGTTATTTTCAGTAATTAATCTCTGTACGGGTTCCGTAGAATTGACCGATCTCGCAACCACCATTAGGAAATAAATATAAATTTTGCCTCTTTTATTCTAGAATGAACATAAATTTTAACATGAATACATAAATGTTTAGACTAATTAGCTTAAGTTTCATAACATTATACATTTATATATATATATTTATTATTTTTATTATATTGATCTTTCAGCTGTGCTTGGTTAACAATACAGAATTTACAATGAAGTGGCTCATGTGCACTCATGTTACCGTATCAAATAACATAAAACTGACCTTTGGTCTGTGCATAGTAACTTGTCTTTGCTGTGTTTTAGTAGACTAGTATTTTGTAAAATACAGTCAAATTTCAATTATAATACATTATATACGTATATAGATTATTGCTATTTTGAAATAAGTTCTTAAACTTATTTTTTTTAAAACATAGAACAGTAACTAAAGAAGTAAAGCAAACAATTACCTCTTCTAGTTACGACCAATGTACTTGGTTGCTGCTCGACATAGGTTGCTAAGCCTTTAAAAAAAACTGCATGTTGAGGATATGAAACAAAATAATTTTTTTAGGTTTTATATATATACATTCGAATAATAAAAAATAAAAATAATTACTACATTAATACCATAGAATTCCACTATGATTTATTAAGCTTAGTAACTAAGATGTATTTTAGTTTAAAAAAATATTAAATTTCAAGCATACTAAAGACACACACTACCTTGTTGAAATATTGGTTCAAAAGAAAGAAATGGCACCAAGTCTGTTAAAATGGCTGAGAAAACCACTAGGTGACATTCTGAGCTTCCGATTAGTTATTCATGTCATATATAGAAGTGTATATAAGGGAGTGTTTCCAAAAAATGGAAAGAGGTGGGTAGGGTGCCACTGTGTTTGATAGCAAATTGAAACGATAAGAGGCTTTTATTTTATATTCTAGCTTGTCAGTATCAATAAATTGAGTTTCTAATCCATTCAAAACTACAGACTTAGTATTTTGACGTCACAAACATCTAGTTTGAACGAGTGCCTCATTCAACATACCACGTGACACACAAAAATTGATGTTTATCTGTGTTTTTTTAGTATTTGCTTTTAAGTTAAGAAATTGAGTAATATATTGTACTAAACTTTGAATTATAATCTACAGTTTGGTATCAATTTTATGAAATAGTAGTTCAATAAAATTTTGAATGTGACTCAACAAACGAGATGACAAGGCCTTTCACTTATGACCCATCTTGAAAGAGTTAAAACAATTTTATACCTGTTCTACTTTACACAACTTATCCACATAGCCCTGGTAAACCTTCATACAATCTTCTGCCAGGTGAAGATGAGTAGCATACTTGCTCAGTTCTTTTTGGTACTGAGGCATCTTCTTGATCATTGTGGAGAGGTCTTTAATACTTGCCTTATCAGTAGATGAGGTCATTCTCTTACTGTCAATAAATTTTTTTAACTCCTTGGTTACACCTCTAGAGAGAGAGAGAAAAAAGATGTTATAAATATGGACAAATTTGAAATTCAGACTATAAATGTAAATTAGCAACAATAATAGCTTTTGCTATGTTGTGAATTTAGTATTAAGTAAAGGTTATATAGATATTAAATGGATGTACAATTATATAATAATACAAAACAAAAAACCAACAGAATTCACAGATATTGCTTTAACACTTTTACTTTTGAATCAAATGTTTCTTAAACTTTTTCCACTCAATCAGTTATATAAATGTCAAATTTCTCATTTGTGAAGATTTTAAAAAAGGTGCCCAAAATAACAATGTGGGATTTTAGTAGTGAAGTATGGAAGAATTACACTGAATCTAATGCTATAGACTGTTTGAAAATGGTTGAGAACATCACGGGGAAAACATATGTAAAAATAAAAATGTACATTATTTCCAAAATCTTCTTGAATACTCTACAAAAACAACATAACAAGTGGTCAAAGTTTTCCTTGATATGTTTTAATTATTTTAATTTCTGACATAATATCCAGTTAGTACAAGTGATACTGTTGCTATTCATCCACAGTAAACCTTTTCACGTGAGTCATTAAATGTTTGCTGAAAAGCTTTCGAATATCTCTCACTTACAAGATAAAATCTTGCAGCAATTATTGGTTTGTTAAAAAATTTGTATGTAGGTGAATTGCAACTTTTTTTTTACATGTAGGCAAATTATCAGATTCATCCAATATAAACTGTATAGTCAACATGTACAGTTACTATAAATTGCTGTTACCAGCAAACTGAATTACCATTAAAACCTGCAGCAAATATTTAACCTGTGCTTGAATTGTATGCCTATGATCTCCAGTTTACACAAATGAACAAAACAAGTTTATTTATTTATGCATATCAAAGAAGAAACTATAAAATTTCATAAAGTAGAAGTTTGATTTAAACACTTTCTGTTCTAAAATCTTGGTTTAAAGTTTTTTTTATAAATTTTGGGTAAATCAGCTAACAGTTACGTGGACTTGTATCCCAAGAATTGAGAATAACTTTAGCAACAAGTCTGCACAAACTTCTTACTATAATAGAGCAATGGCTTGGCTGTCTATATGTCTATCTATCTATGTGACTGAAATAATAAATACAATGGTACCATCTGTTGTGCCGAAATAAAACAAGATATCAATGACAATAGTAGTGATTGGGGCTTATGAAATGTGGCGCCATCTGCTGAATGATACCACAAACAAAAATCCATAACAACATTTTACACTTTGGGTATTCATGATCCAGACAATTAGATAAATAAGTATGTGCAACAATAGTTTCTTTATAACAGTACACAATTTTACATAAAAGTACTCTCCTCACAACAAAAACAACTTTCACTAGGACTATACATGAGGGTTTGATTATATCTTTACTGGTGTAATTTCTAAATGTAGTACTAAAAAACTGGAGTTCTTAAAACACTTTTCTCTTGCAGTACATCCCAGTAAAAACTATTTTTTTTAGAAAATGCTTATTTTTTACAATGAGGTATGAATATTATGATCACAATTACTAGCACAAACAGCCACCAGTAGGGCAGCGTTTCTGCTAGTAGAAATCACAGATTGAAACAAATATCAGTTCAAAATCAATCTACCTTATAGTTCTTTTAGTAAGAATTTGTAAAATATGAAGCTTCATTTCAGTTCCACCTATTGAATGAAATTAATTGAGATCATTATTAAGGACAAATATTTGTGAAGATTTGGGTAAATCTTTTGCAGTTTATAAGTGTTCTTACAAGGAAAAACTTGCATTATTTCATAACTTTTTTGTTATGTGCATGTTACTGATATTTTTCAAACATTAATATAAGGACATAAAATGTGTATATGTGATTATTTTTTGATTCAACATATTTGTAACAAACATTTTCTTGAGAAACTATACTCACATAAATGTTACATCTGACCAAACATGTGAATCACCAAAAGCAACAAATGGACAGTTTCTGCCATGTACCCATTATAAAAAATAAATTATCAATTCCACAGTTCTATTTTTATTCTTAGCATGCAAAACACCTTTCACTCAGAATGCCTCAGTAAAGGCATCCTAATTCACAGACAAATCTTTAAGAAAACACTTTATTCAAAAATCTGATTTTTGTGTACAGCAGACTTGTAAAATTTACTCAAAGTTTGTCAAAGTTCTTCAAGATATATTTAGTATATATATATAAGATGTATAGTTTCGTAGCCACAAGGTCAGTTAAACTGACTGACCCAGTCTGTATTTTGTTAATCAAACAAAATTTGAATTTGGTCTGCTAAAAATCTATGACAATAATTATAGATAAATTTCAATGCCACCTTATATATGTTTCAGTTGACAAATGAATAAAGAATCTTACTGTGAAACCACTGCAATATGTTGATGACGAAGCTCTACCCAAATTTCATCATTCTCATCTAATAAGACCTCTTTCTCCCTCACATCATTGCCAGCAGATGCTTCAAACTTGTACACATCATTCTCAATTGGAAGAAGATCATAAGCCATCGCTTGAAATGTCAGCTCATGGAGAAGTGGAGAAACACAATCAAAACTTCGGTCAAGGATCAAAAGTTGTGATCTCATTTTCTCTGGCCCCTGCTCAAAAATATTTCAGACTTATAATTTATCCTCGAAATGTTAAGAACTTCACAATTCTTAATTATAAACTTGAAAGTACTACCAATTTTTAAACAGCTTATTTTCCTTTCATATTCCTAAGTATAATGAATTCCAACTTACTTCCCCCATTGTTGGTTCATCTGCTTTATATGCATCGAGCTTCTGCTGAATGAGCTGGGAAAGCTCAACATTACGATCAAAGTCACTGAAAGAAAAAAGTCGAATAAATACAAAATCTTGAGTCATTTAGGTTTCAATGTTCAATGATTCTAAACCTATACACCAGCATACTTTTTATAAGAAAATACCTATTTTATTAAAGGAATTACTAATATAACAGTTCAAAAAGGCTTCATCAGCACCTGATATAGCAAAGCAGTGAGGTTGAAATATTAAAACAAATTCTTCTTTGCTTTCACTCATAAGTTTTTAGAATTCCTAAAAGCAGATTTACAGAACTTCACTGTATTAGAGCTTCTTATGACAGCTGGAATAGCTCTAGTTTATAGCTGGGTGATTAATTCAATTAACCCTTTTGAGACGTGTCACAAGTGAAAAACCATGTCATCTTGTTTGTTGACTCGCATTCAAAATTTTATTGAACATTTCATAAATTTATGTCAATAAGTTTGGTATCAAACTGTAAATTATAATTCAAATTTTAGTACTATACATTACTCAATTTTAATTTAAAAGTAAATATTAAAAAAAACAGATAAACATTGATTTTTGTGTGTCACGTGGAATGTTGAATGCAGCAATAGTTCAAAATCGATGTTCGTGAAATCAAAATACTAAGTCTATAGTTTCATATGTATTAGAAACTCAAATTACAGATACTGACAAGCTAGAATATGAAATAAGCTCTTATCTTTTCTATTTGCTGAGATATCACTCATGTACTGAATTAAATACAATGGCCCCACTCTCCTCTTTCCATTTTTGGAAACGCTCTTACATACACTTACTTCAATATATGACATGTGAATAACTAATCAAAAGCTCAGAATGTCCCCCTAGTGGTTTTCTCAGCCTTTCTAATGTTCCTTCCACCATTTCTTTCTTTTGAACCAAGATTTCAATGAGGTAGGTTGTGACTTTAGTCTGCTTGAAATTTCATATTTTTTAGACCCATACAAAGCTTAGTTACTAAGCTTGATAAACTATAGTGGGATTCTATGGTATTGATGTAATAATTTATGGTTTTTTAATTATTAAAATGTATATATAAAGCCTAAAAAAATATTTTGTTTCGTATCCTCCATGTGCAAAATTTTTAAAGGTTTAGCAACCTATGTCAAGCAGCAACCGAGTACAAAGGTTGTAACTAGAAGAGATAATTGTTTGCTTTACTTCTTTATTTACTGTTCTATGTTTTAGGAAAAAATAAGCAAGAACGTATTTCAAAATAGCAATAACCTATATACATATATAATAATTGAAAT